TCAGATTTCATGTACAAAAATAAGGTTGAAGGCCTTTACATGCAGCAGAATCCTAAAATATAACTCAAGAGACAAATAAAAAGAATGCCAAAAGTATTCGGTTTAAATGCATTTTAGGTTCTGTTACCTCTTAAAACCTTGAAAGGGTTAGGAAACCTCACAAAAAGATGTAGACTGCTTTCATTTATTAAAGTATAAAAGTTGTATGCATGAAATCCATCTCATTGTAACACACTGCAGCTTTTTTTCTTTATTTGCAACAAGTCATCATTTGGACTATACCCTTATGGGTTTTTGTCTGCTTTCGGTTGCTTGGACAGGGTCCTATTGAGATAGTTTTTCATGTGCTATTTAGCACAACTTAAGAGCAAACAAATAGTAGTCTTGGTCTTCTGACTAGCTCCCAATACCAGCATTATCTTTTTCTTATCTGAACAGCTAATTTTAACAACAGTCTCTTCCTCCATCTTTCTGCTTTGTGGTCCATACATTTTTTGCATGCTTACATCTGTCTTCACAACTGCTTGATCTCCCATTTCCCGCCCTATCACCACGTTGGACCAGGTCTGACAGCAACACTCCAGCTATTTGCCACGACTGGAACCTTGGAATCTGCCTGGAGAAAAGCTGCTAATGTAAAGTTGCAATTTTTTTTTTTATATGATTACAATTCAGATCTTAAACCAGCATTTAAAAAGGGGGTAAGGCTGCCAAGTACTGAAGGTAGCAAACAACTCAGATTTTTCTGAAAGCATCTTGTGGCAGCTGCAAGTTTGTATTACATTTACTTAGAACAGTAATTGCCATTGGAAATTAGATTTTCCTGCTTGTTCAAAAGATTTACGATGAGTAACCATAAAAATTCAAAATTTAACTCACTAAGTGCTAATGTTAGCAAGCAGATATAAAAGATGTGTCTGGCAAAATTTAGCAGAGATGGAAATGTACCATCAGATAATCCAGGTCATTTCTTTGACAATACCCTTTGATATCCCTCAGAGCATGCATGCTCACAGTGGTTCTAAGCATCTCTAACAGTACAGTTTGCGAACTCTTCCCCATCCTAAGAGATCTCTCTCAGGAACAAGTACGCCTTGCTATCCAATCTAGATTTTCATTTCTGTGTTTTCATTCTTCTTGTTATATTCCCCAGGTACTCCTAAACAATTCTTCCTTATTCGTATTTTCAGTTCTTATTTAGTTAAGCCCTAAATATTTCGATGTTTCTTTTCTTTCAGTGACATGACAATTTTTCACCATCCTTTCTGTAAGAAGATTTGATTTGCCAAATTATTTTGGTAATAGGTCACCTAATAGGTCTAGTGCCAGAAGGTGTCCATGAACGATTTGTCTTTCAATACGGTCTGCAGAAGGTGAACTTTCAGACCTGGATTATTGGAACAATGAGCCAAAGGGCCCCTGGGACATAGTAACCAGCACTTGGAAGCCAGAAAGGCCATCAAGGGTAGCTGGATTTCAAGGGAATGTGTCAGGCATTTAAAATCAATTGATATTTTCTGTTACTGTTTGCTTGGAGTGCATTTTTCTCCTATCATTGGCTTTTTATTGCATTTTTCCTTCCGTGCTGCAGCACCCACACAACACTCACAGACTGAAGTGAGGACTGGGATGTCACTCACTTCCACAGAAGCCCTTGTGTATTGACATTACCTGCTCCCATGAAAAGGAGGGTAACGCATTTCAAACAGTCTTTTTAAGCACCACGTACCACTCTGCTAGTAGTAATCCCAACAAAAAAAAAATACATCACCATCTTCTCCAGATGTGGCCAGACCAATTAAAGAAAACATGGTTCCTACGTTTTACTCACAGAGCAGTACTTAAACAGCAATGCAATTTCTGCAGTACCCTTAAATTTTTCATTGGATATCACTACACCACACAAGATAAATGACAGCACATCCTTACTGTGGCACTACTCATAGCCCTATAACCAGCCCAGGGCTAAGTACTGGGACATAAAGCGAGATGAGAGGAAGCACAAATCCTAGGAGCCGGATGCAGCTAGCTTAGTTATAGATGTCTACCATATGACATAAGTACCTGACAGCTACATGTTGAGGCACCCATGATCGTCAATGGAGACCTAGTCAATATGACTCATGTAGTTTAGGGTACAATTCGTTTTAAACAAGTGTAGGGTGAGGCAAATCACACCCTAAACACTACTTACTCTAATGAGTGCATCTGCACTACCTAATTCACACACAGATGTCTTCCAGAACTGTAGGGCAATATTGAGCATTTTGGATTAAAAAAATACCATGCTTGACAATTTGATAAATATCAGCCCCCAAAAGGTTAACCCTGAAGGTAGAAGAAAATAAGACTTATCTCATTGAGACCATCTGCTGTAGCAATCGAAGCAGTTAGAATCCATTTGATTGCAGGAGTCCATAGAGAATATCACAAACTAATTGGAGTAAAAATAAATTAGTTTATTTTGTTCTGCATGGCCAAAATCCATCCCACTTAGTTTTACCTACCTCAGTAAAGAGAACAGCCTGTTCTAGGCTCTCCTCCTTAAACAAAACAGACGAGAGGTTGCTCCAAAGGGACACTCGGCACCACCTAAGATCTGATTTGTCCTTCAGATACGTGTATCTCTTGCTAGTGATTATAAAGAAAACCAGGCTACCACAACCACCCTCTTGGCTTATGAACTTCAAATAGACTTCAGTGAGTCTCAGTAAGGAAAGCATGAACAATTTGCTGTTGCACTTGTAGGGCTTTCCTCCCTCAAAACCCACAAACGTGACAGTTATGACAAGCAACAAAACAGCTGACACAGCAGGAATTACTGTGCTCCCATTATTGAAGCCCACCCTTATTACTTCTTCCTTAGGGGGATCAACAATTGCATCTCAGGATCCCTGCTGTGAGAAGCAAACCTTTTCTTTTGCTGTGACACACCACCAACCCTGAACTGTACGGTATGCTGGCAGATTGTGTTCTGTATTTCAGGGAGTCCAGTGCAGTGTTTTTCTCATTCATTACTGGCAATCAAGCCATTTGAAAGGAAATAAGAGATGAAGAGCTAAACACTCATTTGGGGAGAGGAGAGATAATCAAGAGAATAGAAGTCTTGTCTCAGATTTTGCATATGATTTCTCAACACTAAGGAACATATAACTGATGTGTAATACATATAGCTAATATCAAACAGTAAATTAGATTTAGAAAGTCAATCACCAGTGGAAATTAGCTTTGAAGAATAGGTAATATTAACCCTATTCACAGAAGCAACAAAACCCCTCAACAAAAAACCTGACAGACATGCGTTAGCTTAATATTGACAATACAGAATACAGTATTACTGAACAATGCACGGGGCATGCTATTCTAAAACATAACTATGTATTTTGACAGATGACTGTATTATGAAGGGCTGATAATACTGAAATCTGAGGAACACCAGTAAGGAGAGATGAATTAAATGGTATGAGTACGTTCTCCGTTGATACCGCAGAACTTGCGAGCCTTATTCTACAGTGACAATAATGAAACACTAAAAGGCAAAGACATGGAGAAATCCTTAAGTAGAAATGCCACGAGATTAATAGAAAAAGTGAGGCACATTCAAATAAAACAATGTTTTCAAGAATAGGCAAGTGGATTCTCTGCAGAGTCACAGATTTAATGCCCTAATTCTAGATCACGCAACCAGAAACTTCTTTCATATCCCATATCTGCTTCAACCCGCTGGGGTGTTGGACCTCTCAGCAAACAGGTTCTAAAAAGATAATCTGACTAACTGACTACTGCTACTTCCAAATTAGCAGCCAAATTGTGTTCATAACACATTCAAAACAAACAAGCCTACACATTACCCAGAAAGTTTTCCCATGTTAACAATTCCAGATTCCAAACCAAATATGCAACAACTAAACCAAAATTATGGTTATCAAAAAGTAACACTTTAAACAACTTATGCTCTATACGAAACCTGAATTATTTTCTCAGCATATGAAAGTCATCAAGATTGCAGTCACGCAAGCAGAAAACAGTACCCTGTACACCCAACATATTTTAGTTATTTATAACTATTTTGTAAGGTGTAAAAATGAGTGAATATAAATTTTACCCAGGATCATACTATGCAAGGAAACTTGATTTGAGCTGGCATTGTAGCTCTTGAGTTAACAGAATGGTAGCTTCTTTGAGCCATGCAGGAAATTTTATTTTTGTCAGAACCATACAGCACTTTCGCATGCTACTTAAGAAACATTTTGCAGGTTAAATAAAATATGTTTACATTATTTCATTGAATTACAAAAAGACTCCATTTCATAGATAACGGATACACCTACCCCAGAGTAAAACAATGCCTTAGCAAATGGGTCAATAGATTGCTTTCCTTCATCTTTTATACTACCTCCAAAGTACTTCAGAATAAGACATTTTATCATGGTGAAAGAATGTTCTTTGATATCATGCATTGCTGTTATTTTACCTTTGTCTAATTCATTTTTCACTAGCACTTGAGAGGTTTCTCTTTAATTTAAGCAATGCAATGGGAAGTAATAACAACTACCTGCAAAGAATTGAACTGTAAATTATGCAACAAAAAACACAACATGAAAATAAAAAAAAAATGTACTAAAAGATTGTTGTATGCCAGCTGCTTTATGCTTAGTGTGATAAAACTTGGAAGGTACGTACAATTAGTTTAGTTAGGCTTAGTAAACTTGAACAATTAGCTAAAGTCACATCACAACTATTCACAAGAAGTTATAAGTTTCAAGTTATTAGTTTGTCATCAAATATTTTATACTAACAAGCTTAAATGCTTCCACTGAACAGAGTAAGACTTCCAAGCTCCCAAATGCTATAGTTTTAAATACTGACTTTCCCGAAAATTATTTCAGCTATGCATCCAAGCAGCCTGAAACATACCTTTGACTTCAAAAGGGGCATGGTATCCTTTTAAAAGTCAATCACATAAGAAGAGATTTTTGCAAACAGCTCCAAATCCTTACCTTTCTGTAGACTATCATATTTGGAGAACTCTCCTCTGGGTCAGCGGTTTCCACATTACTTGGATCAGTGGGCGCTTGGGCCATGTTTGCCTCTCGTCGCTCAGACTGCAAGGACAGGAGCAAAAGTCAGCATTGCTGCAGGGGAGCATGGCGAGGACACGCAACTACCTCCAAGGCAGGCACACGAGGATGGTACAGAGGGAACCACACTCCAGACTGCACCCAGTGCAGGATTTTATCACACCATGTCAGACAGTTAAATGCTTTGAACTGATGTCTCTAAATGCCCCAAAACTGAGTATTGCCAAGTCACATACAGCTGTGGTTTGGGTCATCACACACACACACTTCTCCCCAGTTCTGCTCTTTTATCATTAGCCCCCATTCAATAAATGGCTAATTGATACTTTGCACACTTCCTTTCCTTGATATAAAGCACAAATGGCTTAGACTCAAACAAAAAGCCAAGGAGGATAAAAAGCTTGCTGTGAGACAGAGTGAAACCCCATTGGAATCGGCGGGTGCAGCAG